GACTATAAATAGATAAGATTTTGTTCAGATTTTTAACCTCTGAGGGTTAGCTACCCAGGATAACCCAAGACAGTCAGTGCGTCATCGAGGACTGTCCAACTTATTTCCATTGGGGTCCTCAATCTTGTCCCCCAGGATGCGACCCACACCAATCAACTAACACCCAGGTACCTATTTGCTGCTAGGTGAACAGGACAACAGGTGTTAGGAAATGCTTCAAAATGTTTCCACCACCGGGAATTGAACCCAGGTCCTCCGTGTGTGAAGCGGGAGCTTTAGCCACCAGGCCACAATAATACAATGCAGGGTGAAATAGCTTGCAAGAAGAAAAACTGCATACTCATTTGGTCATGAGGTCGTGGTATATTTTGGTATGGTCAAAACTGCATGTCCCACCTGTTTTTTAAGATATTCCATGCCTATTGATACCTAAAGCATAGAATCCATACAGATTTGATTTCTGTTTGCTAGGAGCTTTTTCCTCCATCCGGAGGGACCATATCAAGATATGTGCACAAAACAGATGATGATGAGCGACACCCCCACCAGGGAGGCCAACGCCGGGTCACCACCTGGAAAAGACCCGGGCCATGACAAGACTGGCGAACCTACTACAGTACAGCAGGACTTTTTATAGCTGGGTTTCCTACTGGTGCAGCTTTTCCTGACCCACCATTTTCTGTGGCACTTGTACCAGCATCAGTACCACCACCAGTTATTACAGGTAATGCATCAACATCATCCCTGAAGCATCATCTTTTTTGCCATCTCCAGCAGCAGTGTTATCTGTTTCTTCAGAACCATGACCACTATCTCCATCTGGTGCACTGACTCACATTTTGATATACTTACAGGCACTCTCTTCCAAAGGAGCACCAGGGTTTTGATATCCTTACAGGCACTGTCTTCCAAAGGAGCACCAGGGGCTCCACTTCAACCTGGCGTACTCTTTACTTTCCCACTGTCAAATAAAAATGTCAAGTTATCCATAAAGGAAATTTTTGTTGTTAGGTAAGACACATGTGCAACAGTTAGGTATCTTTAGATACCTAACTATTGCATATGTGTCTTACCTAACAACCTGTCGGTATTTTATACCATTTGAAATATTTTTGATTGGTGTTTCTGTCTGTTAGTATATATGAAATTTGCTCAAACTGTTTTCTTTCTTATGGGCAGTCCAAAAAAATTTCATTTTAATATTAGTCCTGGTAAATAGGTGAATATTTGTACATGGACCATTGTTCCAGTGTACACAGGTACCTCACTTGACACCATTGTTACAGCATGCACAGGTACCTCACTTGACACCTGACACCATTGTTACAGTGTGCACAGATACTTCACTTGACACCATTGTTAGTGTACACTGCTACCTCACTTGACACCATTGTTGCAGTGTACACAGGTACTTCACTTGACACCATTGTTACAGCATACACAGGTACCTCACTTGACATCATTGTTAGTGTACACATGTACCTCACTTGACACCATTGTTACAGTGTACACAGGTACTTCACTTGGCACCACTGTTACAGCATACACAGATACCTCACTTGACTTCATTGTTAGTGTACACAGGTACCTCACTTGACACCATTGTTACAGTGTACACCAGTACCTCACTTGACACCACTGTTACAGTGTACACAGGTACTTCACTTGACACCATTGTTACAGTGTACACAGGTACCTCACTTGACACCACTGTTACAGTGTATGTCTTTCTTTCTTTCAACGCACCAGCCATATCCCACTGAGGTGGGGTGGCCCAAAAGAAAAAATGAAAGTTTCGCCTATTAAATTTAGTAATATATACAGGAGAAGGGGTTACTAGCCCATTGTATTGTGTATGTGAACAGGTCAAAATATTTTCACATTTTTTTTTAATTTTCTCAAGTATTTTTTGCAAATTTCGTTTTTACGATCAATGGGAGAATTTTTTTCTCTTTCTCCACTAATAAGTTTCATGTTTGTTATAACAAGTTAATGTTTCTCGTGAAGTCTTAGTCTCCTTGTGGTTTACTATGTGATAATATAACAACTCCTCTGTTATACTTGATTCTTTACGTGGCAGAGTGGTCAATAGCAACAACAATAGCAACAACAGTAGCAATACTTGATTCTTTACGTGGCAGAGTGGTCAATAGCAACAACAATTGCAACAACAGTAGCAACAACAGCAGCAACAACATGAACAATAACAACACCCTCATTAATAACACCCCCCCACACAAGCCAAGCAACATAGCAATGAGGATCCACCTGTCATCTCCAGCTGTGATGGAGTTGACCATCTGGTTGGCTGTGTAGAGGGCCTGGTAACCTCGCTGATCCGGCATCAGCTGCTCTGCCAGCTGGTACAGCACTTCTAGATCCCGTGTCAACTTATATATCCGTGAGTCCAGCTGTGAGATCTCAGCACGACTCAGCGTGAAGCGCATCTCTGGGTCTGGGGGATCTGTGGAGGTGACAGACATGTCAGATTGTATATAAATGTGACTGGGAAGTTAAATCACCATCACCAAATGTAGACTAAACCTAAATATAAACTTTGTCAGATGAACAATTGTCACACCTTCCATCATTATGTACTGGACTGCAATAAAATTAATGAAGTCAGAGACAACTCACTTAGAAATGTCAAAGTATTTTTTCCACAGTGGTACCAACCATTCTTGATAAATACCCTGACTTTGCCTACTGTAAATAACCCAGTGTGTGTGCATTTACTCACCTAATTGTACTCACTTAACCCTTTCAGGGTCCAGAGGCCAAATTTCAAAGTGTGCACCAGGGTTCAAGAATTTAAAAAAAAAAAAAAATATTTTTGTTATTTTTTCTTATGAAATGGTAGAGAATCTTTTTCTGAAGGTAATAAAACAAAAAATGCGAAATTTGATGGAAAATTGACGAAATTATGCTCTCTCAAATTTTGATGTGTCAGTGATATTTACGAATCAGCGATTTTGCCGACTTTGACTCCCATTTTAGGCCAATTACATTATTCCAGTTGACCAAATTCTCAGCTATTTCACTAGTATTACTTCTATTCTATCGATTAAGCACAAAAAATTGCCAAGTCAACTATTTCAACTACAAAATAAAGTAATCGGAAATTGGTAATTTGGCCAATTTAACACAAAGTTCAAAATATTCCAATTTCAAAATAGTGTCCAGAATAAACAATGTAGGTATTCCTGGCACTAAATTAACATTTCCTCTGTTCATTAGTTACATTTTGAGGCTTTACAAATGAATTCTATTTTGATTTTTTATTCACATAATGAATTTTTATTCAAACCAAAAAATAGAAGATTTACTCTTATGCAATATTGTAATGAATGTACAAATATCATCACCACATTTGTGAATGTATATTAGACCCACCAGCTGGTGTGTATTAAATGTGTGAGTTTGCTTGTTTACTCTTGAACATCGGCAAAAATTTAACATTTCCGCTACTTTGAGCTCAGTTTCAAGCCATTTCCAGTGCTAAAACCAATCAAAATCATTTCTATTTCTGTAATATATCTTCCATTCTATCAATTGAGACCAAGAAATCGCAAATACAACTATAAAAAACATACGAAAAAACACTGCAAAGTCGCTGCTTTAATCGAAAATCACGGTCTCAGTTTTTTCTCTCATTATACACAGTGTGCTGCAGGATTTGTTTTATGTGGTGCACACATACTACAAAGATGTATTCTCTCATATCAAGGCCCAAATTTACCACTCACAGCTTATCAGAGTGAGTTGAGCTCATGGCATAGATCTACGGTTTGGATCCTGAACATAAAGCAGTAGATCTACGGCACGGACCCTGAAAGGGTTAATTGTAGTTGCAGGGGTCGAGACTCAGCTCCTGGCCCCACCTCTTCACTGAACACTACTAGGTCCTCTCTCTCCCTGCTCCATGAGCTTTAGCATACCTTGTCTTAAAGCCATGTATAGTTCCTGCCTCCACTACATCGCTCACCAGACTGTTCCACTTCCTGACCACTATATGACTGAAGAAATGCTTCCTAACATCCCTGTGGCTCATCTGAGTCTTCAACTTCCAAGAGTGACCCTTTGTTTCTGTGTTCCCTCTCTGGAACATCTTGTTTCTGTCCACCTTGTCTATTCCATGCAGTAATTTGTATGTCATTATCATGTCTTCCCTATCCCTCCTGTCCTCCAGTGTCGTCAGGCCAATTTCCCTCAACCTTTCTTTATGGGACATTCCCCTTAGCTCTGGAACTTTGTCACAAACCTTTGCACTTTCTCTAATTTCTTCACGTGCTTGACCCGGTGCGGGTTCCAAACTGGTGCTGCATTCTCCAGTATGGGCCTGACATACACGGTGTACAGCGTCTTGAAAGATTCCTTACTTAGATATTGGAATGCTAATCTCAGGTTTGCCAGGCACCCGTATGTTGCAGCAGTTATCTGGTTGATGTGTGCTTCCAGAGACTTGTTCGGTGTTATACTCATGCCAAGATCTTTCTCCTTGAATGAGGATTGCAGTTGTTGGCCACCTAGCCTACACTCTGTCTGCAGTCTTCTTTGCCCTTCTACGATCTTCATGACTTTGCATTTGGCAGGGTTGAATTCGAGAAGCCAGTTGCTGGACCACGTGTCCAGTCTGTTCAGGTCTCTTTGAAGGCTTGCCTGAACCACATCTGATTTAATTCTCCTCATGAATTTCACATCATCTGCAAACAGGGACACCTCTGCGTTTATCCTTTCCATCATGTCATTCACATATACCAAAAATAGTACTGGCCCTTTGACTGACCCCTGTGGGACCCCGGTCATCACAGATGCCCACTGTGGTACCTCACCACGTACCATAACTCAATGTTGCCTCCGTCAGGTATTCTCTGATCCATTGCAGTGCTCTTCCTGTTATACGCGCCTTATTCTCCAGCTTCTGCACTAATCTCTTGTGAGGAACTGTGTCGAAGGCCTTATTGCAGTCCAAGAAGACGTAATCAACCCACCCCTCTCTCTGTCTTACTTTTGTTACTTTGTCAGAAAACTCCAGAATGTTTGTGAAGCAGGATTTGCCTTCCATGAATCTCTGCTGGTTGTTGTTTATAATCTTGTTCTGTTCCAGGTGCTCCACCACTCTCCTCCTGATAATCTTCTCCCTGACATTGCATACTATGCACGTCAGTGATGCTGGTCTGTAATTTAGTACCTTGTTTCTGTCTCCTTTCTTAAAAATGGGGACTACATTTGCTGTCTTCCATACCTCAGGTAGTTGCCCAGTTTCAAGGGATGTGTTGAAGATTGTGGTTAGTGGCACACACAGCATCTCTGCTCCTTCTCTAAGGACCCACGGTTAGATGTTGTCCGGTCCCATCGCCATTAAGGTATCACGGTCACTTAGCAGCCTCTGCCCCTCCTCTTCAGATGTGTGTATGTCATCCAACACTTGTTGGTATATTCCCTGTTGGTGTTGCCCTTTGTGCTGTCTTACCAGAGCCCTTCCTATCTCTACTGTAAATACTTCCTTGAATCTCGTGTTTAGCTCTTCACATACCTCTTGATCGTTTCTGGCAAGTTCCCCACCTTCTTTCCTCAGCCTGATCACCTGGTCTTTGGCTGTTGTCTTCCTCCTAGTATGGCTATACAGCAGTTTCCGGTCAGACTTGAATTTCCATGCTATATCGTTTTCTTACTGTCGCTGGGCCTCCCTCCTTAACTGTGCATACTCGTTTCAGGCTCTTCGACTAATCTCCTTATTTTCCTGGATTCTTTGCCTTCTGTACTTTTTCCATTCTCTAGTGCACTTAGTTTTTGCCTCCCTAGACCTTCAGGTAAACCAGGGGCTCATACTGGTCTTTCCATTATTTCTGTTGCCCTTAGAAACAAACCTTCCCTCTGTCTCCTTGCATTTTGTTATTACTTATTCCATCAATTCGTTTACTGACTTTCCTACCAATTCTCTGTCCCACTGAACCTCCTGTAGGAAGTTCCTCATACCTGAGTAGTCCCCCTTTTATAGTTTGGCTTTTCCCATTCAACTCCTGTTACCCTCTCTACTTGTAGCTTTACTATGTATTCAAAGCACAGAACCATGTGATCACTAGCTTCAAGGGGTCTCTCATATGTGATGTTCTCCTCAATGTCTGAACTGCTGGTTCATCCTCCCCTCTCTCTCTCTGGTAGTATGTGTGGGTGTGTGGGTTTGTGCGCATGCATGTGTGCACGCGTGCGTGTGCGTGCATGTGTGTGTGTGTGTGTGTGTGTGTGTGTGTGTGTGTGTACTCACCTAGTTGTGGTTGCAGGGGTCGATTCATAGCTCCTGGCCTTGCCTCTTCACTGGCCACTACTGGGTCATTCTCCCTGCACCATTACCTTTATACCTCTGCTTAAAGCTATGAATGAATCCTGCCTCCACTACATTGCTTCCCAAACTATTCCACTTCCTGATTACTCTATAACTGAAGAAATACTTCCTAACCTCCCTGTGATTCATCTGTGTCTTCAACTTCCAACCATGCCCCCTTGTTGGTGTGTCCCATCTCTGGAACATTCTGTCTCTGTTCACCTTGTCAATTCCTCTCAGTATTTTATACGTCATTATCATGTCCTCCCTATCTCTACTTTCCTCCGGTGTCGTCAGGTCGATATCCCTTAACCTCTCCTCATAGGACATACCCTCACCTCTGGGACTAATCTTGTTGCAAATCTTCGCATTTTCTCCAGTTTCTTTACGTTCTTAGCTAGATGTGGGTTCCAAACTGGAGCTGCATACTCCAATATGGGCCTAACATACACAGTGTACAGGGTCCTGAATGATTCCTTATTAAGATGGCAGAATGCTGTTCTTAGGTTTGCTAGGCGCCCATATGCTGCAGCAGTTATTTGGTTGATGTGTGCCTCAGGAGATTTGTGTGGTGTTATACTCACCCCAATATCTTTTTCCTTGAGTGAGGTTTGTAGTCTCTGGCCCCTAGACTGTACTCCATCTGCGGTCTTCTTTGCCCTTCCCCAATCTTCATGACTTTGCACTTGGTGGGGTTGAACTCCAGGAGCCAATTGCTGGACCAAGACTGCAGTCTGTCCAAACCCCTTTGTAGTTCTGCCTGGTCCTCCTCCGACTGAATTCTTCATATGTATGTATGTATGTGTGTGTGTGTGTGTGTGTGTGTGTGTGTGTACTCACCTATTTGTGGTTGCAGGGGTCGAGTCTTAGCTCCTGGTCCAGTGTGTGTGTGTGTGTACTCACCTAGTTGAGGTTGCAGGGGTCGAGTCCAAGCTCCTGGCCCCGCCTCTTCACTGGTCGCTACTAGGTCACTCTCCCTGAACCATGAGCTTTATCGTACCTCTGCTTAAAGCTATGTATGGATCCTGCCTCCACTACATCGCTTCCCAAACTATTCCACTTCCTGACTACTCTGTGGCTGAAGAAATACTTCCTAACATCCCTTTGATTCATCTGTGTCTTCAGCTTCCAACTGTGTC